ACCTCAGGTGATTCACCCGCCTCGGCCTCTCAAAGTGCTGGGATTTACAGGTGTGAGCCACCATGCCTGGCCGTAATTTTAAAAATTTTTTGTAGAGATGAAGTCTTGCCATGTGTTCCCAGGCTGGTTTCAAACTCCTGGGCTCAAGCAATCCTCCCAACTTGGACTCCCTAAGTGATGGGGTTACAGGTGTGAGCCACCATGCCTGGCTTCCCTTAACATTTAAGCATGCCCCTTACATATGTATTTATTTATTTATACATATCTGTCTCTCCTTTATTAGCAGCTTACCTTTTTTTAAATTTTGAGATGGAGTCTCACTCTTGCCCAAACTGGAGTGCAATGGTGTGATCTTGGCTCACTGCAACCTCTGCTTCCGGGGTTCAAGCAGTTCTCCCACCTGAGCCTCCGGAGTAGCTGGAATTACAGGTTTGTGCCACCACAGCTGGCTAAGCATGCCATTCATAATTCTGCTCCACTTTCACTTTCTGCTTGCACTGAATGTATAGACGGCCAGTGGTCTTCTCAGAGCATCCATCCTGTCCTGGACATGCGTGTATGCAGCTTTGTCAAATTCCCTAGTATACAGAAGTGGGTTTTTTTCCAGTCTCACTCTGCCACCCAGGCTGGAGTGCAGTGGTGTGATCTCGGCTCACTGCAACCTCTGCCTCCTGGGTTCAAGCGACTCTCCTGCCTCAGCCGCCCGAGTAGCTGGCATTATAGGCACGTGCCACCATGCCCGGCTAATTTTTGTATTTTTAGTACAGCCTGGGTTTCACTATGTTGGCCAGGCTGGTCTTGAACTCCTGACCTCAGGTGATCTGCCTGCCTCGGCCTCCCAAAATGCCGGGATTACAGGCTTATGTTTTTATTGTATTTTTAACATTTTTAACATTTATATATTTCTATAATATATATTTTTATTGTATCATTTATAATATTTTTGTATTCACATTGTAGTTTTCACATCTGTTAGTTTTTTAGAGTGCAACTTACTCCTGAACATGTTTCAAAAGAAGTTTAATGAGAAAGACAAAAGCCCATGTCCTCAACAGACCCCTTAGATTCTTCTTTCCTTCTCTTTTCTTCTCCTGAGCTCAGGCAGCTGTGGTGGAAGAGACAGGACCTCCTGCTGGGGCAGCACCAACCGCTGGAACAGGCTCAACAGTTCCCACACTGCCAGTGAGGTTCCTGATGGTGACACTGGCCAGGCTAGAAAGGTTTGACATTTACACTAGCTGCTTCAGTGAGAGCATTGATCCTGTCCTCTGTGACAGTCACTTCACTGTCATGCAGGATGAGGGCTGCGTAGATGCAGGTAAGCTTGGATAGAGACCAAGATACGGGCTTGCGGGGCTGCTGGCTGCTGGCTGTGGTGCTAAGTGTGGGATGAAATGAGGGCCTCACCCCAGGCCAGCCTCGGCTTCCCTGCTCCCCACTTTAGCAGCAGCTGAGGAAATTCGTATCTATTACCATAACTGGGACCCTTTTTTTTTGAGATGGAGTTTTGCTCTTGCTGTCCACGCTGGAGTACAATGGCACCATCTCCGCTCACTGCAACCTCTGCCTCCCAGGTTCAAGCGATTCTCCTGCCTCGGCTTCCCGAGTCTAGCTGAGATTACAGGTGCACATCACCACACCCAGCTCATTTTTGTATTTTTACTAGAGATGGGGTTTCACCTGGCTGGTCAGGCTGGTCTTGAACTGCTGACCTCATGTGATCCACCCGCCTTGGCCTCCCAAAGTGCTGGGATTACAGGCGTGAACCACCATGCCTGGCCCTGGATCTTTTTTACTTCTCTGCTAAAATTTTTTTCACTGTATGGAGGGTGTTATATAAAAACTGTTACATTAATGGCCTTATCTGCTAATTCTAGCATCTGTTTTAGTTCTGGAACAATTTCCATTGATTGCTTTTTTTTTCATTACAGGCCATATTTTTCTGCTTCTTTAAATGCCTGGCAGTCTTTGACTGGATGCCACAATGTGAGTTTTACCTTACCGAGTGCTTGATACTATTGTATTCCTGTGAATATTCTTCAGCTTTTTTTCTGGGATGCAATTACATTACTTGGAAGCAGTCTGATTCTTTCAGGTCTTGCCTTTATGATTTCTTAGGTGGGACCTGGGAAACACTCAGGGCAGGGATAATTATTCCCCATGACTGAGGCAAGACCTTTCTGAGTACTCCATCCAATGTCTTGTGATTGTCAGTTTGGAAAAGTTGAGGAAAGCAAGTACTATTTCCAGTCCCGTGTAAGCAGAGTAATCTTTCTGGATGTTTTTTTCCCCAGCCTCTAGGAAATGTACTGACAGTACTCTCCTGACCACTCAAGGAAGACCCTCTGCAGACCTCTGCAGTTCCTTCTGCTATTCTGTCCCTTCTAGTCCTCTGGCTGCCCCTGTCTCTGGCTTTTTAGCCAGAGAGAATCTCTTTTTTTTTTTTTTTTTGAGACGGAGTCTCGCTCTGTCGCCCAGGCTGGAGTGCAGTGGCCAGATCTCAGCTCACTGCAAGCTCCGCCTCCCGGGTTCACGCCATTCTCCTGCCTCAGCCTCCCGAGTAGCTGGGACTACAGGCGGCCGCCACCTCGCCCGGCTAGTTTTTTGTACTTTTTAGTAGAGACGGGGTTTCACCGTGTTAGCCAGGATGGTCTCGATCTCCTGACCTTGTGATCCGCCCGTCTCGGCCTCCCAAAGTGCTGGGATTACAGGCTTGAGCCACCGCGCCCGGCCTAGCCAGAGAGAATCTCTTAACCCCCCAGGCCTCGCTGGGCAACCCACACACAGACATAGATGGGAAAGTCAGTTGTGCAGATCTCCAACTGCAAACATCAAGACATCTCCGTACACATGCTGAGGGTCTGGAAAGAGCACACATCTCAGGGCCTGCATGAACAGAGTGACCTTCCTGAAAGACAATGGCCTCAGTGACCTCACTTCTGATGCCTGGTTGCTGGAGTTCAGTGCAAGCAACAGCAGACACACTGCCCACATGAACATGTGGTTTCCAAGCCAGACAGAACTTGCAGCCTCAGTTCCAACCAGGTCCAGATGTTACACCTTCCCACAGTCGGAATGAAATTGGCCTGACTCGGACGGTGCTGTGTCAGGGATCCTTGGTGCCTTTACTTAATCCTGCGTCCAGTGTGCCCACTGTGTGCAGCCCCACGGGAACGCAGCTCCAGCAGCCCCAGGTCACAGGGAAGATGCCAAACAGTTCCACAAATCAGTGTCTAATGACAAGCAGATTGTCACGAGAAGTGGGTTCTCTGAGAGCCCTTAACCATGTAAGCTGACATGGGCTTGGGTCAGCGAAAGAATGTGGGAGCTGAGACTTGGAGCTCAGTGTGGAGTAGGGTTGTCCAGGCAAAGGGGTGGTGGGGGCACCAGCTGTGTTTCCAGAGGCTCCTGTGGCTTAGCCTATGGGGCTGCTATAGGAGAGGCAGGATGTTCGTGGTCCTGAGCCTGTCCTTGTGGGGTCTTGTCTCATCTGGAAAACAAAGTCCCAAGAGGACATTTAACTGAGGGACTGCCACGCACACTCCCACAAAGGTGGGGTGGGGGCGACTCTGAGATGTTAGTGTCACAGTCTGGGATTTTTGTTTTCTCCATTAACGGACCCTTGGCACCAAGAATGGGCATGGCATCAGCACTTCTGTCAATACTGCTCCACGGAGGAATGGGATGGGGGAAATTGCGAGGGGTTGGGGCAGGGAGAGGGCTGTGGGGCTTGGCCAGGCCCCCTCCCTGCTTTCACCTTGTTATTTTTCTGAGGCGGAATTTCACTCTTATCCAGGCTGGAGTGCAGTGGTGCAATCTCGGCTCACTGCAACCTCTGCCTCCCAGGTTCAAGCAATTTTCCTGCCTCAGCCTCCCGAGTAGATGAGATTACAGACGCCGACCACCACGCCCAGCTGATTTTTTGTATTTTTAGTAGAGACGGGGTTTCACCATGTCGGCCAGGCAGGTCTCGAACTCCTGACCTCAGGTGATCCACTCACCTCCGCCTCCCAGAGTGCTGGGATTACAGGCGTGAGCCACCGCGCCCGGCCACTGGGCCTTAGCTTTCTGAGGCTAGTTCTACATCTTAGGATCATGTCCCCCTCCCAGAGAAGAACCCAACATAGGCCCCGCTGCTCCTTCCGTCTGCGGCTTGGAGCTTCTCCTAGCAACAGGGTTCAGGCTGCTAATAAGGCCTTCCTCAAGAACCCACCCATAACCAACAACCACACTTCGTGGGTCCATCTTTGTATCATCTTTACTTCCTTGGAGCAAATTCCCAGCAGCGGGTTTGCGGGGTCCAAGAGTATGCACCTCTAGCACTATGACAAAGGCGGCCAAAATGCTTCAGGGAAACGGTGCCCCAGTTTGCATTCTGCTTCCCATGCCCTGCCCTGGGAATCTGACTGGTGAAACACTGGATGGCAGAGCGGTCGGGTGCTTCCGACCCCGCGGTGGGCCGGGACCTTTTCCTACCCTCAGGAACCGTCTGAATTTCTCTTCTGCCGAGTTCCTGCGGGTGTCCTTCGCCCACTGGCCCGAGGGAGTGTGAACAGCAGGCACCACGGGAGCAGGCCTCCGCTCGCAGAGGCTCCGTGCCTGGGCAGGAGCACCGCCCCACGCCCCAGGTGGCCGCAGGGTGAGGGGACCGGGGGCGTTGGAGGCGCACTATGGGGAGGTACGCCCGTATCTCTGGCCCGGTCGGCAGCGGTCAGCGAGGCTCAGTCCCCGCCCCTTCTCCCAGCTGCTCATTCGGGGCTCCCGAGGCGCTCACAGGGGTCGACTGCGTCCGTGGGGCACAACCCACGGGCTAGGATAAGACGCCACACACGGCGACCACCCCTAACGACGCCCCTCGCCCCAGGGTCAGTAGGGCGGATCCTAGAGCCTCCTCCGCCGGAAGCGGAAGTGCGTCAGGGCGTCGGCCGGCAAAAACGCACCGCGCAGACTCGCTGTGGCGGCGTGACCCGGAAGCGCTCGCCGAGGCCCCGCCTTGCCCGGCGATATTTCTGCCGGGTAACTAGCCGCTTCCTTTCTCTCGCGCGCGCGGTGTGGTGGCAGCAGGTGTGGCGCGCGGCGCTGGCTTGGGGCTCAGGGCTGGGGCTGGGGCGGAAGCGGGGACTTGGACGCGGGGGACGGGGTGCAGGGTGCGGTGTGCGGCTGCGGCCGTGACCCTAGGGGCGGGTTTGCGCCGGGAGCCGGGGCACGGTTCTGGCCGTCCTCACGGCGCCGCGCGGTGACTCCGCAGGCTCAGCCTCGAGATGCAGAACGACGCCGGCGAGTTCGTGGACCTGTACGTGCCGCGGAAATGGTGAGCGCCCTCCCCACGCCCGGCTCACTGCGCCCCCCACATGCCCCTCTTCCGTTTTTACCCAACCACCGCGTCCCCTCGCCTGCCCTTGTTCCCCCCACACCCCTCCTGTCCTTACCCCGCCACGTCCCTCACGTATCCTTCCCCGGACGTTCCTCTTTTCCATGCAGACCCTCCCAACCCTCCACGTCCCCCCTTTCATTTTTACCCCTGTCCCTTCTGCTCACTGCTGCCTTTCTCCACAGCTCCGCCAGCAACCGCATCATCGGTGCCAAGGACCACGCATCCATCCAGATGAACGTGGCCGAGGTGAGCTGGGAGCCCGGGAGGCGGGAAGGTTGGGATGTATGTGCCGGGAAAGGCAGGCCTGTCCCATTGTGGAGGAGCCCCTAGGGTGCACGTAAGGCAGAGACTGGCTTTGAGGATTGCTGTTTCCCAAACTTGGGGGAGTGGTTTCTGACCCTTCTTCTCTTTCTAGGTTGACAAGGTCACAGGCAGGTTTAATGGCCAGTTTAAAACTTACGCTATCTGCGGGGCCATTCGTAGGATGGTGAGTGTTCCCTGGGCTTTGCTTATCACTTCGGGACATCGTGGACTTGACCCTGCTTTACCCTGCGCATTTGAGTGTGTGATGGTGCCTGAGTAGATTTGCTGGCAGAGTAGTTTGAGCCAGGTGGACTGGGCTGGCTGCCTGCTGCTGCTTGGGGGTGGAAGAGGGGTGCTCTGAGAAAACACTCAGGCAGCAGACCCTGCCTCCCACTAGGAGGTCCCCCCCATCTCACGCCATAGTCAGGCTGGAGGCTGCCCCTCGGGAGAGGTGGCTCCCCTTCTGCGCCTGTTTCCATTCACTCAGCGGGGGAGACACATGGGCTGGTGGCGCAGCTGACCTGCCATCTCAAGCAGCCGGAGTGGAAATATTCTTAGTGTGTTTTTTTTCTTAAGGGTGAGTCAGATGATTCCATTCTCCGATTGGCCAAGGCCGACGGCATCGTCTCAAAGTAAGGTTGGGGGGCTCACATTTGGGCAGAGTGAGTGGACTAGGGCTGCTCCAGAGGCGTGGTCCTAACGTTGTCCTTTTCCCCTGGTTCTAGGAACTTTTGACTGGAGAGAATCATGGAAGTGGAATATTTGTCATAAATAAATAGTGAAAACCTACCTGTGCAGGTTCGTTCTGTGTCTGTAGGCCCAGGGTTGAGGTTTTGCTGTCAATGGGTGACAAGGGTGGGGTACGGTATCCAGTTAGTTGAAAGGAGACAAGCTGTGAAACGTATTGCAAAACCGAGGTTTAAAGGATACATTATCCATTTAGAAACATTTTAAGATAAAATGACTCAAACGTTCTGAGGTCAGAGACTCGCTTATGCACATTGACATCCACAACTGCTACCGACGTGGAAGCAACATCAGGCCTGGTTTTGTGGAGTCACAGCCCAGCTGAACACCTCAGCTCCCGACACCTGGGTGTGTTCTAGGGGATGACACACTGAGAGTGTAGTTTGGTTTAACTACTGGCTTTGTTGCAATAATCCTCGAATACCACATAGTGGCAGCTCTTGGCATCATGACAATGGACTGAAGACAACTGAAGGGAAGGCTTCACACTTCACATAGACCGGTTTGGTTAATAACTTTCACTACATAAATACACAAACTTAAATTACTGTGCTTATCAGCCATTTCTTGCTTTCATGTGTAGAAAAAACCATGAAGACGGGTGTCCCTGGAGGGCAGGTTGTAAACTGGAACAGTTACTAGGAATTCAGTCCCTTACATGCTCATAACATGGGCAAGCTCTTGAGATGGGATCTGGGTGGCAGGAGAGGTTGCTTTTCAGAGGAAAGCTGCCTGGGACCCAGCATGGGGGAGCAGCTTGGAAGTCGAGTCCCCTCTGGGTGCACGTTGGGTTCCAGGGGTCATCCTTGGCCTGAGGGCTGCTCGATGGAAGGGGATGCTCCACAGTAAATAAGGGCAAAGGCTTTGGTTTGTCCTCATCCTGCAGTCTCTCCTACACACCAGCCATCTCTGGGTCTCAACCCCAGTGAGTGGCTGTGGAAAAGGAGGGCCAGGTGGGTGCTAGCAGCTGTCCTGCACCACTGCTGGGGTCAGGTGGAGTTGCTGGTGGAGTTCTGTGATCACCAGAATTGGCATCCCCTTTCTGCGGAAGCACCAGTCTGCACAAATAGCATAGAATGGATTGTAATGGGCTAGAGACAGAGTCATCCCAGAGTCTCTCCAGGGCCAGGGAGGTTGAAAGTAGTGGTAGGAAAAAGCTTGGTGGCTGAGGCAGCGGCCAGTTTTGAGACCAGCTGACCCATAAAGAAAAACTCAGCAGTCCTTGGTTATTCAGTGTTTTGATGAGGCAGCTAGCTGGATTGCTGGACCACGTAAAATTCGTTGCAAGAACTTCAGACAGATGTGGAAAAGCTAGAGATGGGGCCCTGCACAGAAGGGACATTGACCACCACTTGGAGTCCTTTTAGCATGGTGGGCTGCCCTGGCCGAGGTGGCTAAGACAGCACCTGTTTCCTGCCTCAGAAGAAAAAGACTGATGCACTGACCCTTTGAGGTTGTGTGGGGTGTGGTCAGTGCCCTCCTGCCTGAGAGTCAAGTGTGTTTTCAGGTCAACTTTAGCAGACCTCATTTAACCATTTTTTGTTCCCTTAAAAAAAGACCCAAAAAACCAAATCCCAATAAATATGTTATTTTTCTCCATCACAATATTGCTTAGAAAAATAAGAGCTGGCAAGCAGCGATTGTCCTGGAGGCCCAGAGTGTCTCCTGGTGAGAGGCAGAGGGTAGAGCATGGCATGGTATGGGCAGCTGTCTGTTGCACCCAGTCGGTCTGTAGGACACAAGGGCGTCAGGATTTCACAGTGACACGATGTTTGAAGAACAGAGGTCCAAGAGTCCAAGAATGAGATCAAAATAAATCAGGAGACTGCTCCTGCTAGTTTAACTGGACACCAAAAGCTCCATTTAGGACGCAGTGAGGCGGGCGGAGAAAGCTCTGGAGGAACTCGGCTTTGGGTGGCAGGGAGCCAGCGGCACAGTCGATGTTGGGAGATGCTGCTGAGGAATCCACACCCGAAAAACCAAATCTCCAAGATGAATGCCTAAATAAGTTAAACTCAGCCATTTCAGTGTGTTCAGTGAGGTCTAGAAACCCAGATCTCCACCCCAACGCTGTGGTGGCTGCGGTGGTTTACAGAAGGCGAGGCGTGGGGAGACAGACTGCAGCCGGCTCACTGCTACACGCTGTGAACCAAAGATCCTGGTGCCAGGCTGGTCTGAGGCACGTGAAAAAAATACCAATAACAAAACCCCACATTTAGTTATGTAAAAATCCAGGCGAATTCTCAGAAATCCCCTTGGAGGGACAGTGCATTTGGGGATGAAAGCGACGTCACTTTCCAAGGAAACAGCAGAGGCAAAAAGGAGAGCCGTACCAGCGGAGGCCAGGTGCCTCCTCTGGCGGGTGCTGGGGGCACTGGCAGGAGGCAGCACGGGGCTTCAGTGAGACACTTCCCTGGCCGGCAAGTGCACCTCGGTGCCCTGAGCCTTCTGTGGAGCCTCTGCTAGAACTGCTGGGTGAGGCGCCTGTAATGAGGTAACACTTGGTTCTCGGGAAGATACAGGGCCAGCTCCAAGGCCACGAGCACTGTGAACTCAAACCCGATCAGGTCACGCCTGTTGAATCGAAACCTTTCTTCTAACTTCTGCAGGGGAGAGAGAAGGGTTACACGGGAGCCTTCCCTCTTCCACGTTTCCCACCCAGCCAGCCCCATCTCAGCAGTGGCCCTGGCTGGATGTCATGACCCTGCCTGCAGCGCCTGCCGAACCCAGCACTCACATCGATGAGCTGCTTCACGCCGCTCTTGCGCAGGTCACTGCTGATCTTGGCGGCCAGTAGCACGCAGGCGCCGGCGCACAGCTTGCGGTTCTGTTTGCTGAGCTTGCCCTGCAGGACCAGCTTCTCAAAGTACACGTAGGCCATGGCCACCGTCACGGGCTCCAGGCTGCACTCCTCCGACAGGCTCCGCATCTCCCGCTTTAAGCTGTGGGTTAAGACAGAAGCCATGTCCCTGGGGCTCTGGCTGGGGCTGAGGTGTCAGCCCCCTGCCACCACCAAGGAGGCTCGAGCAATGTGGCTTTGGGCTGCAAGAAACACCACTGTATCCTTCAGGGCAGTAACCTCCACTGTACCATGTACAATGCCCAGGGCGGGGTGCAAGGGCAGCGACAGGCAGGCTGGGTCTCGGCTTCCCCCCTCCCTTGGGTGGGTGCCCATAGCAGGTCCCACCTGTGCCTGGTGGGTGGAGCCACAGAGGACAGGCCCTGCTCTTGGTGGGGGGCAGTGGCCTCTGATGAGGGGCAGTTTTAGGAAGAGCCTTGAAGGGAGGTGCCGGGGTGTGGGGTGAGCCACCCTCTGGAACACTGGGGCAGAGGCCAGGCAAGGCAGGCCCCCAGTACAGGGCCGTGGCCAGGAGTCCAAAGTGAGCCTAGCAGTTTCGCTGCCTTCGGCTCACTTTCCTCTGGTCACAGGAGTTCTCAGTGTGGCAAGATGTGAGAGCAGAGGCACGTGGATGGTCTTGGTGAGCACCCAGCATGCCTGGATGGGGTGCTTTGTGGGCCAGGGGAAGGGCCACGGAACCTGCTCAGTAAAATAGCACACACTGGGAGCGGCTGGGCACAAGAGAGGCCTTGTCCTGCTCGAGTTTTACAAAGATCCTGGGCTGCTGCGAGGGTTTGGCTGAGAGGCCCGGTGGTGTGTGGGGGGATGAAGTGTGATGGGGCCACGGGGGGCCTGGTTTGGCGGGCAGTGGAGGTGGGGGAGCTGCTGCTGGGGGCCTGGTCAGAGGTGGGAGGGGGATGAGGATGGGCAGTGGCTAGACTTGTCAAGCTGGAGAGAGAATCTACCAGAAACTGGAGAGGCTGGCAGGGCCTCCCAGGACGATGAGATGGTCTGAGAGGGTGTCCTCACCTCCTGATTTTGCTCAGCGTCAGTTTGACGTGTGGGAACTTCTCCCTGAAGGTCTCGTTCATGTCCTTTTTGAGGTCTGAGGGCTTCACGTATTCTATCACTGTGGTCTGCAACAGACAGTGGACAGGGTTGGGCTGGCCCCTTCCACAGTCCATGGGTCCCACCTGCCCGGTACCACGATGGATTTCTCACCATCCTGAGTTTGCAAACATGCATAAGGTGTGGCTTGAGAGGCCCCGAATCTCAGCGAACAAAATGGCTCAAGAGAGAACCCCAGAGCCCATGCATGCTTGGTATGGGGAGAGCCAGGCTGCCAGGTGCTGAGGGCTGAAGGGCAAAGGTCGACCCCAGCTGGAGTGGCCAGCACTGCTCCCTGGCCTGCCCTGCACACCACCACTGTCTGTGGTGCTGCAATCTGGGATGGGGGCACGTCACGCCCCTGGGGCGGCTTTGCCCACAGCCTGCCCTGCACGCCCTGAGGACAGGTGTGCAGCGGCCTGTGCCCAGGCCCCAGGAGCGGGCACTCACCATGTACGACGCAAAGATGAGGACGCGCTTGTGCTTGCCGCAGGGCCACTGCGGGTCATCCAGGAGGTTGGGGTTGTACTCCAGGGTGTCCCCCACATCGCTCCCTGTAAGAGAGGCAGCGCCTGACCCACCAGGAGTCTTGAGCAGTACCCATCTAGCCCCAAGGTCTGGCAGGCCGGTGCCATGGCGGGACAAGGCCGAGCGGGGGAGGGGCTCCAGGCCACGGTTCTCGCTCTACCGAAGGGCCCAGGGCTTAGAGCAAGAAAAGGATGTCCTGAGAGGAGGGGCCCTCCCTGGAGTCATCTGTGGATGCAGCTCCTCCCCACTGCCCGGCTCAGGCCAAGCCCAGGGCCAGCGATTCGGTGTGGAGCTGTTCCTCTCCTGAGTGGCCGCCACCTGACCCTGTTCCCCAGGCTCCATCGTGCACAAAGGGCTACAGATTGAAAGGGGCTTGCTGGTGCTGCTGCAGTCCCTGGGCCGTGGTTAAGGCACGCGGGCCACCCTGTTCCGGGCTGTGGTTAAGGCACGCGGGCTACCTAGTTCTGTGCTGGCTGGTGCTGACTTGGTGGGGGCAGGTTTATGTCTTGACCCTGGCAGAGTCCGGGGGACACTGGGCCGAGGTGTGGGTAGCAGGCCATGGCTGTCA